AAATTACTTCTTTAACTGGTTGTTCAGTAGTTCAGTCGAGATAATTGAATTTCAAAAGTAGTTTTACTAAATCTTGTTATTGTTTTCATTTCGATGTCCCGCCCTCCACTGTTTTACCAATCAGAAAGCCTGTGATCCGGGTTGCCAGAACTTACTGCGTCGAGCTAATCTCACTGGTAAAGTAACATGTAGCCGCAGAACTAAAAAAGGTCTTGTAATTATTCTAAAATCATTAACGACAAAACAAGGAATAAAAAAAGGCTTTCTATCTTTGTTAAAAAGGTATACAGATGTTATGGTCCCAGCTGGATTCATCTGCATATCTGGCAACCTGAGTCAGGGAGAGTGCGGTACCACTTTTGGCCAGATTTTTACACACTGCTCCTTTAAAACTAAACTTTCAAACACTGGAAATATATGTAAGCTTAATAATAAAATGAAAGTAAACCGCCAAAGGACTGTGATGGTGTAGCTCATGTGCCTCCAACCTGTTTCACCCAGAGAGCTACTTTCCCGGGACGATGAAGAAAGAGAGTTTACTTCATTAAGCGTCCCCGGGAAAAAAAATTGTGATATTATAGTGTGAACGAGCCATACATTGGGAACAGTTATTATTTATCACCGCATATTTGTTACGAGTGACAAAGTAAGTGCTTTTACAATGACAAATAATGATAATGAATAATACAATCTGAAATAGTAAGTATATTATTGATTTATTTCTAAATCCTGAGGCGAGCTACTGGTGGCTCCCGAGCTACAGGTTGGAGACCCCTGGTGTAGACCCTTTGTTCATTTAGTTTTACCTGGTTTTATTTGTATGCATATTTTTGCTCTTTTTGCTGTGAGTTTTACTTCCTGTCTGTCGATGGTTTGCCCCGCCCGGATGTGTGTCCCCAGTGTGTGTCTCTGTGTGTGTATTTAGTCCCTGTGCTCATGTCCTCTTGTTGTCGGTTGTCTGGTTTTTACTTTTTGCAGTTCTGCTTCTGAAAAAAAGGTTTCTCAAGAAAATTATGGAAGAACTGCTGGGACCAGGTGTAGAAAAATGGCAGTATGATGAGTCCGGGTGGGGTGAGATTAAAGGACCCAAAATGGAGGTATGCAAAAGTAAGGATTTATTGAAGATGATTGAATAATTTAAATAAATAAATTTAATTTAGCATATAATTAGGTAATATATAATATGTAGTGTATATATTATATATATATGCTGTATTATGTTATATATTATGTTATATATTATTCAATAATGTATTGTGTTATGTTGTATATTATGTTATATATTATGCTGTATGTTATTCTTTATTCAAGGCTAGGTTTAAAACAGTCCTCTTTAGTTTAGCATATGGCTAGGAAGGTAAGACTCGGAGAAGGTTAAACTCCTCAGAGTGTTAGTCAAGCTGCATAGGGAGTCAGTTTGCTGGGAGAAGTATGGTAACTTGAGCACTATCCTCTCCTCCTTCCTACTTTATCTGTTTAGCATTTTTAGGATTCTGACTGTAGTTTGTTCATTGCTATTCACCCGTTGTCCCATTGTCTGTTTCATGGTACGATGACGGGATCTCTGAGCCTGGCCTCTTCCATCTACACCTGCGGACTGCCCCGCCCGACCCGCCTGGGAGTGCTTCGGTCCTGCACCGGACCTGTCCACGTTCAGCGTCCACTGGTCCACGTTCTGTAGCTAGCTTAGGTCCTAGATCATTAGTCTGTCCGTCCGGAGGAGCGGATCCCTTTCTCATATGGGTCTCCCTCCCTGTGGGTTTCCCTAGTTCTCCTCCAAGGTTTCTCACTTTTTCCCACTGGGTTTTTTAAGAGTTTTTCCTTGTCGATGCAGGAGGGTCTTGTTGGACAGTTAGTGTCCAACAGAAAGGATTGGTGATGATCAGGGACACTTTAGCATTCTACAACATGTATGGACATTTTCTTCTGTGTGTGCTTTATACTGTATTCTTCATGTGTTTTAACTGTTGATTCTCTGACCTGTGTTGGTGATTTCAATGGTTTTGTTAAGTCCTCTGAGATGACTTCTGTTGTGACCTAGGGCTATACAAGAATAAATTGTATTGTAGAATTGTATTGTGTAATAAAAGTCCAAGGCAAAAACAAACTCAAAAATCCAAATGAAACAGGGGAAGCAGGAGACCAGGAAAACAATAGCAAAGACATTGACAATGGACCAGCAACACGGGGAAGAGCACAGGTACATATAGACAGAGACACAGGTGAAACACATGGCTGTCAAACAGGGGAACAGGACAGCAAGTAAAACTAAAATGAAACTACAGAGAACTAATGTCAAAATAAAACAAATTAACAAATAATTGATAAAGGAACTGGATTAATCGTGACCCTCACATTGAAATGCTTATTGAACCGTGGCATCAGTGTGTGGTTGGATTCCAGTCAAATCCATCAAACTAGTTCCTCGCTCTTGGTTTAGCTTTTTCAGACAGAAAAGTGAAAGAATTGAGCTCCACCAATCAGCTCTCAGCCCAAATCCTCAAATAATAACCTACAGGGCTTTTTTCTTACAAGTATGCAAATAATAACATGTTTTCTAATAAGATGAAGACAGTGTGTTGTGGTCTGATTTCTTCACAACATTTATTTTTTACAAGGGCCTTTCTGTTGGGACCATAAATTATTTAAGGCAGGGAAAAAAATCCATGCATGTAACATCTGTCCTTGATTTCAGCTGAAAACACGAGAAGCTCCGTCACAGAAATGCTCCATGAATGTTTGATAAGCTGGTGAGTGAATTGAATTGATGTTTTTGGTCAGAGGTACAGCTTGGCCTCTTGTTCCCGTCACGTCGAATGCTCGAGACACCCCGAGCCTCTGCCGTCCCGGGCGACCTCCTTAGAAAGCCAATGGTTTTCACCCCAAAGCAAATCTGAATCGGAATGCACACACGCACTAGCTCCACTGATCAAACCGAAGCCCGGATACAAGGCCATAGCAGGCCAATTAGAACAAGCAAGCTGTCACAAAGCTGCTCACGGACAAGCCAGGATCCAGAGACTTCCCTGCGCAGATAATCAACTCGTGCGCAGCCATCCAAGTTTTATTAAGCTTGAATGAGAAACAAGATGTGTCACTACGTATCACCTGCGAGGGTTTTATGTGCAAGGACGAAGACGCAGCTCTGTGCAAAGGTTTACGTTTACGAAGCTCCCAAACCGGTCTGACACCTCTGGGCTCGGTCTGCATGCGTTTCATCCAATTGATTATATTTATGCTTTTAAAGGGGCGACAGTAGCTCAGTTGGTAGAGCACTGGTTTTTGGACCTAATGGTTGTGGGTTCGAGCCCACCAAGACCCATGTCACCTGCTCCCACTGTCCCTGGGCAAGACGCTTAACCCCACATTGCCTGAAGCCCCCGCTGAAAGACCAAGGCCATCTCATTGATGACAGAGAAGCCCACCACCTACAGTAGGATCAGCGAGGGACTGCTGCTATGAGATTTGGGTGCCAGTTCTGATTGCCACCCCCCCAACCCAGAAATGGATTAATAAAGGGGAAGAAAATGAAATGAAAATGCTTTTAAAGTCATTTGCCTCAGCACTCGAACTTTGGAGAGGTATTTGTAAATAAAGTTTCTTCCATACTGTACAAGTACGCTTACATACATACTGTACAAGTGCGCTTACATACATACTGTGCAAGTACGCTTTTAGCATTAAAAAATTATCATTTATTTGAGTGTTTGATTTTCACGCAATACAAGGCAAGTTTATTTGTTTTGCATAGTTCTTACACAAGGGAACTAAACGTGCTTAACAAAACAAGAAAAACAATCACACACGGTATTTGGTAAATTATAAATATTCACAGTCAATTAGTAAAGTTACAATCCTTAAGTTTAGCCTGGATTTCAACATTGTTAGAGTAGAACCCTGTCTTACCTTTTCAGGAGGCCAGTCCCTGTGCTCCTCAGAGTCCGAGTTGGTTCACATGGCACTAACATGTCACTTATGTACTTTCATGCGAGGCCATAGAGAGAGTGCATTCTGAAGAACCAAGTCTTTAGCAGTAACAAAACAACAAAACAATGAATGAGTCACCTTCATACGTTCCATTACATCATAAAAGTATGCCTGTTCCCTGTGCTCTTGAATGCATCTGCTGCCCTTGTCTCAGTAGTATCCGGTTTATCAAAACCGTTGAATTTGCCAACACAGATCTGAGAATCAAACAGTTCAAACACAAGAAATACAACAAAAAACACATTGGTATTGGTCCACAAGAGGCAGAAACCATTAGTGTTGATAACTGTCCATAAATGTACCATAAATAAATGTAAAACGGAGTAGAATTGGATCGATCCGGAAACGAATTGCTCAAATCAAAATGAAATTGGACTAGGCTAACTGATAAAAAGTTCTTGCAGGAACCAGACCAAACTTTGAAATATATATTAGAGTTTGGAGATGAGTGAGTCCCAGAAGTACCATCCTACCTGCTGCTTGGAGCCACCTTCAGCTGCAATCCAAAACTCTCTCACTAGATGTCACTTAATCCTAGGAGACAAGACGGCCGGGTAATGACTGCACCTGGAAAGAGACAGTAAAGACAGAGAAATGTTTCCAGACCAAAATGATTACTTACATTAAATTTGAATTTCTTTGTTGACAGAATTTCTTAATCTAACTCAGTACTGGATCTATATATAACCTGTTCGTCCGCAGGAGTAGATCCCTCAGTGTGGGCGTCCCCGAGGTTTGGTTCTCAAATCTTTTGTGGGTGAATCAACAGTTTTGTAAAGTCCTATGAGAAAACAACTGATTTAGCGCTATACAAAAATAAATTGAGATGAATTGAATGTGGCAGACAGATACTTCAAGGCTGGTGTTATTAAAACACTTTGATAAGGCCATTTTCCGCTGCAGGTTTTAATAAAATATCAATCGAGGTCAACTCGTTCTTGTCCTTTTCTTGTAGTCATTTTATAAGACTCACAGAGAAACAGACCACGGCCAAAGTGTGGATGACCTCAGACCTGTGGGGTCCTGCAGAAATGGCTCATCAAACACATAAAGGATCAATATTGCACATGACAAACATGGTGTGTACAGAAGGAACTGCTTGTCCATGTGGAGGTGCTTTTCATCAATATGTCACGTGTTGTGCACAATGTAAAACGTGTGAGTTCATTCTCAATGTAAAACTTGAATGTGTTCCCTTGACGTACAAATTCACTATTATTGGCTATATTTTTAGTCATGGCAACGTAAATAAGTTTGTGTCGAGCTGGAGCTGCTTGTTGAGGCTTTTCTGTTGAGCAGGATGACTTCAGTTGTACTTTGTCTATTCTCAAGTAGCATTGTCGGATGTGAACAAAGCCTCTAAAGAGCTCTCAGGATAAATACTAAAAGTGTGTTGCATAAGGCTGGAAGTCCACGATTGATACATGTTCTGTAAATACAGTAGTTGCAAGAACATTGTCAGAACGTGAATTGTGACTTAACTGAAATATGCTATCTGATCTCAACAAAACACACACATGGAAAAAAAAAAATTAAGCTTCATTCTTGCGTAAAATGTATTCATTTTTTTGCACTAGAATAAACTGTATTTCATACTTGGCTAAAGATATAAATCTTATTTGATAGTGCTGTGCTATACTTAATATTCACTTCATTCTTATGTGCTCATTATTCCTGCTGTTGTGTAACTTGTGATGCAGACAGGATCGCAGAGAAACACATTAAAATGGACTATGGCAACCTTATCATCCAACACATTTTTACAAGGACAACTTTATAAAGGAGAGCGGAAAGTGAAATAATTCTTAGCCCAAGTTTGTGTTACACTGTCATTATCTGTGTAGTTCTATAACCTTCATCCAACTCAAATGTAATCAACGGGCTGTGAAACGTTTTGGTTGTATGGTTGTGTAAATAAAACGACTGTAGGTCAAGATCATGTGAACTGGTCTACGACTTCAGTCGTAACAGTTCTACGTCATGGTGCTACGTCCCTTAGCGGACTTCGCTAGTGGGATATCACGTGACCCCCAGGTCACACGCCAGAGAGATCAAATAATTTGCTCCAATCACTAGCGACCCTCCTCTATAAAGGCCCTTGCACAAGGCCGCACCCCCTCTGGCGCCGGTTGAGATCTACCACAGTACTTACTTCATTCTGAGAGATGTCTTCCTTGTTCGTCCGAGTTCCCCTTCGCCCTCCGGCGTCGGACGTCGTCGCTGGATCCAGACGGTGGAGGACTTCACCTCTGTGGGCGCCACCACTCAAGGGAGGAGGAGGATACAACCCACGTTGTGCCCGCGGATGGACCCGATCCTCCATTACGCGACACGTGATTGGCCAAAGCCTCTAGCAGCCAAGAGGCCTGCTCTGGGGTACGGCATGTACTGCAGCGTGCAGGACTGGTCCTGGACCGGTGATCGAGGATTCGGTCCGCATGGCCCTGCAGCCCTCCGCATCCGTGTGGCCCGGCACCAGACCTCTCCTTCCCTCCGAGCGGGACAGGATGTCTTGCCGATGCTGGATAGATATTAGGCCAATGCGGCACAGGTCGTCGCATTGGCAAACAACATGGCTTTCATCACGGGGGCCCTGGATAGGGCGCTCTCCTCTGGCCAGGCGCTCAGTGGAGACCTCCTGTCACCGGCGGCGACTCTGCGCATGTGCCAGACGCTAGCTGTGGATGGTGGCCGCTCCATGGCTGCAGCCCAAGTCGGGGCCAGGCACCTTTGGCTTGGGCTGGCTAATATCAGGGAGGCGGAGAAGAGGCAGCTGCTGGACCTGCCCATCTCCCAGACGTCCCTCTTCGGCCCGGACATGCAGGCCCTGGTGGCGAGACTGGAGTCTGCAGCCAACGACTCGGCTAGGCTAGCCCCGCACCTAGCACCGAGGCGCGAGGCCCGTCAACCATCACGGAGCCGGGACAGAGGCAGAGAGCGTCCTGACCCGTATCCGCGCTCTGTGGTCCATCGTCCCCCCTTGACGAGGCCCCCGGGTCCAGACAGACCCACGGGTGGCTCGCGGGAGCAACGCACCCACCGCCGGCCTCCCTATGGCAGAGGAGGTCGGGGTGGAAAGAATTCTTTCAATAAAGGCCGATCGGCATTTCATCAGTACTCGTTGTCTGAGTCTCATTTGGGGGTACGTAACATGTCTAATGTGAAATCTGATTGTGTTACTTCCCGGGCACATAACGTTGCTTCGCTAGGCCTGCAGCCCCCAGAGCAGGGTGTGCAGTGCGCTACGCGAGCTACGAGCTCCGGTCCTCTGATCCATGCTATGCCCTCCCAAAGAGAGGTCAGGCGGAGGGATCTGGTGAGTAGTGGTGTGTGTGCTTCGGCCAAACTCGTGTTAGCCCCTCTGAGCTACAAGGCTAACACAGGGTTTCCCACTCCAGGGGCTCGCCCCCCCCTCCATGAGGCAAGAGCCAGGGGGGGGCGCAGCAGTCGAGTCACGTGGTATGAGCAGACCCGTACTTATGACGTCGGGCCTGCAGGACACATGACCGCCCCCGGCGCACACGGTATGACGCAGGGGGCCCCCCTGCCCTTTCGTCCACCCCCCCTCCCTGCTAGGAACACCAGGAGAGGGCGGGGCCGTGACGTCTCGTGTTCCAGCTCCCGTTCCGCCCCTCACAGACTTCTACAGCATCTGGAGGGAGCAGGGATTACTGACGGATCTGTGGCTGGAGAAGACATTGCGCAGGGGTTACGCACTGCAATTCTCCCGAAAGCCACCACCATTCCGAGGCGTACGGGCAGCACGCTCTCAGGTACGGGGATCATTAGTGGCACTACAAGCGGAGGTCTCCTCTCTGCTGAGTCGAGGCGCAGCAGTGGAGGTAGACCCGCAGGACGCCACCAGGGGGCTGTACTCCCCCTTGGTGCCAAAGAAGTCAGGCGGGGTGCGTCCCATTTTGGATTTGCGCGTACAAAGCAGCTCCTCGAGTGTGTCAGGCAGGGAGATTGGATGTCTTCCATAGACCTGACAGACGCTTACTTTCACGTGCCAATAGTTCCGGAACACAGGAGGTTCCCACGCTTCGCAGTGGGAGAGAGGAGTTACGAGTACTGCCGTCTCCCCTTTGGCTTCGCGCCTCGGTCCTTCTCAAAGTGCGTGGAGGCGGCACTGGAGCCGCTCAGACGCGCAGGGGTAAGAATAGTAACCTACATAGACGATTGGTTAATACTGGCCTCATCCAGGGAAGTGGCCGTGAGCCACACGCACTGGGTCCTGTCCCACATACTGCGTCTGGGCTTTGTGGTGAACAGGGAGAAAAGCAGGCTGCAGCCGGCTCAGCACATGATCTATCTCGGCCTGCAGCTAGACTCTGTGACATTCCGTGCTGCATTGTCCGAGGACAGACGGAGGAACATTACCCGTCTGGCCAGGGAGGTTCTGGCGAGCCCCAGGGTCCCCGCTCGGCGCCTCAGGTCCCTGCTGGGGATGATGGCGGCGGCTCATGCTGTGGTGCGGCTAGGCCAGGGATCGGCAACGCGCGGCTCCGGAGCCGCATGCGGCTCTTGAGTGCTCCTGGAGTGGCTCCTGGAGCCTTTTCAAAAATGTCTGAAAATGGAGTGTGAGGGCTATATTTTATTTCTAGTTTGAATGTGGTTTCTGTAGGAGGAAAAACAATCTTTACGTTTTTAAATGCTGTAAAAATATGTATAAGTAATATCTAATTTCAACATTTCTGTCAACGTAGTGCGTCATATCCTATGACGCGCGGTCACGCGGCCCCTCCCCATGCGGCCGCTGCTGTAAACAAACCGGCGTGTGTGCATCATAGACTGCTAAGTGCGCATGGATCCCAAAGCTAAAACGAGAAAGAGTCGATAACAAGACTGGACTAAGAATGAGAATGAAAATTTTCTTTCAGTCAATGAGGAAGGACTGCTTCATGTTTGTAATGAAAAGTTTTGTTGCAACACGAGGAACAATGACGCTCAAAACGACGTAAACGGTGATTACGAAGGATTCATTCATCAAAAATTCAGAGAACCTATACATAGTTCCCACAGACCAATGAATGTCACATGACCTCCTCGGAGACGCCATCTTTGATGGCACGCTGCTGTGTTTGTGCATTCCATTAAACAGAAGAATGAGAATAAATGTAGATATTCAAACGCAAATTGGAAAAAAAGGGCAACTTTTGAGCAAATAATTGTATATTAATACAATGGCACCACAGTTTAACGTGCTACGGACATGTTTTACATATTTGATCAAATTATGCAGCAAAAATTAACAAGCTATGCAAACATTTCTCAAAAACTTTAGATTTAATACCAGTTGGAGCTCCATTTAATTATTTTAATTATATTAACAATTAATTTAATTAATGCTAATGCCACACGGACACTCTGGATTGCTGTTATTGTTTTATTTCCGCGTTTTTGACCGTATGTTTTGGTGAATGGTGGGCAACTGATTTTTCCAGGCGTAAAGAGCAGTTTATTTTATGACACAGATCTTTTTTACAGAAGCAATGCTGTTTGTGAACATTGTTTTAGCCCACCATAGAACTATTATTATCTATTTAATACATTTACGTTGCCCTCGAGAGCCTCGGACGCGACACCGATCCTCCTCATAATAAAGTAATCTAAATAATGAAACTCTCAAGTTACCAGATATCAGCATACACAAGTTAGTACTGAGTAAATTACGTCTGTCAACACATTATAAGATACGATACGCACCTGACACAAAGTGCTCCGAGCATATTCTTGCGTGTTTTGAGGGAGTTTCTTGCCTGTTTATCTTCGCAAGCCATAACCTCCGTGGTTGTTCTGACAAAAGCTTAGTCTTCTCACATTCATGAAGTCTAATGATGGGTATACTGTAAAATCCAAGTTTAACGGAACCTCCGGCACGATTTGAACATCCATTGACCCAGCAGGAGATGACCATTTTCAACTTTATCACGACATTAACACGTTTCAGCTTCTTTTTCTATTGTTTTGCCCACAGCATGCCAAAACAAATGGCGCCGGGTCGGCAAATCCCCGTATGTAGTGACGTCATGTGGGAACT